TGTATAAAAATACATTGAAAGAGGGTAGGCTTTCTTATTCATGTTCTGCTTTGTTTGTTTGGGGTTAAGTGCAAAGCTACACAATGGGCTATCTGTGCTGTGCCCACCACGGCTATAGGTCAATGGTTCTCAACCTTTTCCAATATCATTCACCCCTACAAGTTTTTCACAACAGTTCACTCACTCCAGTTCGAAAAAAGTATTAAATTAAAATGCAAAATTCTTTATTATGACTTAAATATACATCAAACTACAACTAGAATCAATACAACATAAAATAAACAAAAGAATAAATGTATTTATCAAAATAGAACTAGAATAAATAATAATAACTGATGATTTTTTTTGCTCTTGAACTTGTTGTATCATTGAAAATACTTATTTACCCCATCACTCTCATTCATCATGATTCTGATCTCATTAGTCCCCCCTCTTGGTGAACCAGTCACCCAGTTAAGAAGGCCAAAGAAGCCAACAACCAATACTGTGTAAAAAAAAGTGATATCAATGCTTTTTCTTTATTGTGAAAGAAATTTGTACATCTGCATTACAATGGAAAATTCCAACACCTTTCGGTATTCAATTTTCTGAATGAAAATATTCTGCTTAACTGCTGATATCTGTTATATTTTAAAATGTAAATATAAATAATAAAATGCACTGCATATAAAAAGTAATCATAGTAAAAACTGCACTTCCAGGTTTTGTAACTACATTTTGTAACTCTGGTCATGAGTACTTTACATTTGGCAGAGAGGACACTCAAATAATGTAAAACTAGATCAAAATAGGTCTTTCATATACAATGTTGTTCTCTGTGTCAACCTTGAGGTTTGTATAGTTACAAGTTAAAGAGCCAATGTAAAACAAACTCTTTGTAAACTCGAAACGATTCAATGAATGTTTGCTAATAGTGTATTTAAAATTTCATTGTGCCAGAGACTGCATTATGTACTGTCACAATAATAAGTTGTTGTACTTTAACCTACATTTCCAGTTATCTCTGTAGTACTTATCATATTTTATAATATGTTTACTTCACCTGATAATTCTAATCTCTCAAATAATGTATACATACTTTATTCCCATAAATCAAATTTCTACATACATGTACAAACATGTTATGTCATGTTTATTCTTCCTTCTTCAGGCGTTTGTTTTCTTTGTAAACTACAACTTATTCTAACTCCCTGATAGACCCGCCCCCCTCTTCCATCTCTGGGTGCAGAAAGGTTTACGTTTAAGTAAGATATTACTTAACAAAACTAAAAGTTATGAAGCTCCAAGATAGTCTCTCAGACTTATATTTATTACAGCTCAACAATTTTGACAATAAAAATACCAAACTCAAATGGTTTGTTTGGTCAGATCAAAGAAATTATTAGGTTCAAGAGGGTTCATAATATAGAACTGCTGGTTCTAAATTCACAAACTTCATATGCAACACTGTTTTGTCACTATCTTTAAATTATGACCACTATGTTCTACATTGACACTTTCAGGGAAGAAAATATGACATACAGAAAAACATGCATGTTTGGCTACATGTATGGTTAATACAATAGTCAGGTGAAAAAGGGAGTATGCTTCAGACTATTATAAGTCATTTGTGTCTCAAATGTTGTAACAGATAGCCAATGCAACACACGGTAACAATGCAACTACACTTTAATAGAAGAAACATGGTAACAGCATACAAAAAGACTGATAACACATAGCAGGTGATAAAACTTTCAATAAGAGGTTCACATATACATGGTTTGTAGCAACAGACAGCAAGATTACTATATAACATGTGGCAAGAACATGCAACAAGACATATATATATATATAGACATTTGTAAAAGAAAAAAATAAAATATTTATAGACTAAGTCTTTTTTTAAACATTACCTCATTGTTGTTGATGGTGTCAACAGTCTTCTGAGCAGGATCTTGTTGTAACAAGAGAAGTCTCCCACATATATTGAGAAGCACATTTTCTCCACTTTTTCCAGACCATATAACTGAAAAAAATTAAAAGCATAAAAAATACCTTATCCGATAAACATGTTCACTATCAAAGTGATAAAACCTCACAATACATACAAAATGTAAAATACTAAAACATTTTTATTCCTGTGAACTAAGAAAAATATAAATAATGCAAATGGTGAAAAATCAAATAAAAACTACTATGTATTAAGTACACAAGTTTGCAACATTGCATGTAAAACTGAATTAAATACCAAATATCATACCCGATTCTGTTCTGAGAGAGGTGAGCAATGCTGATACAACACAGGCTGGATGAACAACAAGGTTGGACAAATCAACTTCTACAATCTTTGCAATGTGCAGACTATTGCCTATATAGAGTAGAGAACTCTATAATTATTTTTTAGCAGCTAAATAAAACAACTGTAACAGTGTAATGCTTTCAGTTTCAAAATTATGATATCCAAGTTGATCTTCATGGTCAAATGAATTAATTTAGTTCATAATCTTTTTGTTAGATGCACACAGACTGTATTTTATACTCAATATACATGACAAACTTATAAACACTAATAGCTTGTACATTTTATCACACAATTGCAACAAAAAATAATAAAACTACTAATATCAATCTACCTTAGTCTTTACAACAACCAACACAATAAATACATACCAGTTCCAAAAACAAAAGACTGAAAATATTTTTCAAAAGAAACCTTTAACCATCACTGTCATTGAAAAAAACAAAACAAGAAAAATGCAAAGCGACCCTTAACTTAATTGCACAGAAAGAAAAAAAACTAGTACAAAAGGACCGCAGTACAACCAAAACTAAAAATAACAACTGCACTAAGTTTTCCAACTGTGCACATTTGACATTTCAGTTATGCAGCCATGCCATGCATGTTTGACTTTATATTTTGTACCATGGTGTATATTGTAATAATTCAGCAATATGTCCCAGTAATGTATGTGTTTGTTATTTCACCTGTTATACTAGAAGCATATACACATCAGTTTTATTTTTATACTACTGCATGTTGATTCTAATGAATTCCTCAATTACACAAAGTAAATGAGACGCAAAATCAATCAGCATTCAATAATGTCAAATTTCATTTTTTCTTACTTAGGAAATTCAGTTTTTAAAATTTTCTTCTATATGAAATTCAGTTTGAAGGAAAATGTAACCTCACATAAAACTACACATGCCTTATACTTAGTGACATTTATAATAAGAGTCAACCAAAGTGAATACTTTTGAGAGTAAGTTTAAGTTAGTTTTCTTGGCTTACATTGTAAATGTAACCTCACATAAAAGCTACACATGCCTTATACTAAGTGACATTTATAATCAGAGTCAACCAAAGTGAATACTTTTGAGAGTAAGTTTAAGTTAGTTTTCTTGGCTTACATTGTAAATGTAACCTCACATAAAAGCTACACATGCCTTAACTATCAAATGAAATTTATAATCAAAGTCAACCGAAGTGAATACTTTTGAGAGTATTTGCTTAGACGAAGGCCAAACAATCATTCTACACGCCAAATTATTAAGATAGCAGTTACAAAAACAACAATACAATTAAGTTTCCCAATTACTTTTATGCATATTTCTCTAGATTTCAGAAAGTTTTGCCATCAATGAACTTGAAATCCCAGAATCCAACAAGTCATAATAATAAAAGTACAGCTTACAAAATATCCAAGTAATAGATTTCGATAATCTTTCAAATGTGAAGGACAGGAACAATACATTTTGTTGATGCAAGATTTTACTATGTATATTTTAAAACAAACATGGTGCTTAACATGCAAATAACTTTACAGTGTTGACTGGTTATTAAAGCACTGTGCATGTGCAGTTCCGATCATACTGTCTAATGTCGTGCATGGGATGCTTCATCTATTGTAATGTGCTCTGTTTATATAATGGTCATCAGGAATACAAAACGTCTTAGATATCATGCTTCTGAGTTATGAAATATTAGTGGATGTAGTTTCAACAGATTTAGTCACCTAGGTGATGAAGCATGTTGTCAAGACAATGTGGCTTCCTTACTGAGAAATGGCTCATCTTCTTTTTTGCTGAATTGAGTAAAAAAAAATCCTATGAAGTTGGAATATTAGTTTCAACATTGGTATATAAATAAAAGTTAAAAAAAAAAAATCATTCAAATTCCAAAAATATGACTGGATACTTCCAAGGCCTACTTCTGAGAAAGTATTCTCCAATGTTTTTGCAGACCAAAGTACCATTCATAAATAGTCTCACACTTAAGACTACAGCTCATTTACCAGTGTTGGGGTTTATCATGGCCAGGTGTGAGGGTAAATAAAAAATGAATCCACCATTACATCAGAAACATCTGTGTACATTTTCACATGCTATTATGCTATCCTAAATTAACAATTAGTGTTAACGTAAGTGTAAATATTATGTATTTCTGACCTGTGTTTCTTGAGTTGTTTATCTTTCCTTCAGAAATAAAAGCATTTTTAAATATGTTTTATTGAACAAATATATTATTTGTAAATATACAGCTATGACGTCATACAGATACTCCACTAATAACATGGGTGTTTTTAAGGTTTATTAAAGCAAGAAAATTAGGAAATGTAGAAGCAAAATACAACTAAACAGGAAAGAGGAATTAAGAACCTAAAAAATAATATCCCTCTACTTTTGGTATAAAATAAGATTTCAAAGAATATTTTCAGTTACCAATACACAAAGAAAAGTCTTTAGTAAGGAAATGGCTAAGAATAAAAAAGTTATTATCAATTGAAACAATAAAATCCATGTGAAAATTGACCTGTGAATGTTTTTTTAATTAGATATTTCTATATACATATCAGTGTATGCATCTCTTTTTAAATTAGTTTTGGAAATTCTATTTTATATACAACTACAGAACAATACTTACACAGATCAATAACTGAGATAATATCAATATTAGTTTACAATCACAATGTTAAAAAAACATGTAGGTTCAAGAAGTCTTGATAGAAATTAATAAAAACCCTATAACTCGAGTGCTTTCGAAAGGTGTACCTTTCTTCTTCAGGGGTAAACTGAAGAAGAAAGGTCCACCTTTCAAAAGCGCTCGAATTATAAGGTTTTTATTCAGTTTACAATCACAAATTTTCAAAGCCTGTTCTTCATGATGAATATTTCACCACTTTAGAAGTACCAAGACCAACATAAGGTTTTACTTAATATTAAGACATGATCACATTTCATATATGTTTTCTGGCTGCATTGGTTAGAGATTTATGAAAAGAATTACAAATAACGACAAAAAAAATCTATAAAACCCACAAACTTGTCACCTACTTGTTGGACCATCTTTTTCCTTCAACTGATACATGGTTAAATGAGAGTCTGCTAAAAAGGCTAGCAGACGATCTCCGAGTGCTGACAACTGTAGAACTTGTGTGGGTACCTTAGCCACCCGGACAAAATGATTGTCTAGCTTTGTACCCTGAGGATAAATCCTAATCTGAAAAAAAAAAAAACAGAGAAGGAAAAATGTTTTTCAATAATTTTGTTTGCTTACTTTTGTATTAGACAATACAGCATTTTGGCTTCAAGGTAGATTTTTTTATTAGTCCATAAATGTCTTTACAAAGATAAACTGAATTGTGGGGAAAAGTACATTCATTACATAGTATAGATGAACCATATATGTTTCTCCAAAGTAAAATTAATATACCACTAAACAGTTGGTACTTAAAAACAGTATCTATAAAACATAATATATGTTGCAATGACTAATATGTGTTTTCTAAAAAATAGAATTAAATCTTTCAGTAAATATAAGAATGATTAAAACTCACACTGAAAAAAAACAAAACAGAATTTTTACAGAAACTGAAATTTTGATATTAAAGGTGTTTTATTACAATGTTTATTTAGCCTAATATAATAGCTGGACTGCAGTTTTATTTCAAACTTTCTTGTAATGGTCAAATGAGTAAAAACTCACCTCATCTCTTGTATCTCTAAGATTGAAACACCCTAACACAATGTGATTGTGCCACCACAGTAACCCTCCCATCACAACAAAATCCTGTTCCTGTATGGGAAAAGTTTCTGTTTTAATGCTTATGCTACTAACCTAACCCAATAACATACCTAAAAAAAATCTATTCTGAGCATACTCTTAACTCTATTGCCACAGGCATCATTTACTGTCCATGTAACAAAGATTTAGTGACTTGTATTCAGATTTTTATTAAATTAATTTTTATTTATGGTATACCAATTAGTGTAGCATAAAATCTTAGCTAATAGTCCATATTTTAATAGCATACAAGTTTTATGTTCTTAATTTTATAAGGCAATATAAACAAAAAATCCAGTATTTCCTCTATTTTATCCACCACCCTTCCAATAAGTACAAAATTAAATGTAAATTACTCACTATAAAATCATCATTGCTGAGACAAACCATAATTTTTATAGCCTTCAACTTTGTTTGGTTACAGGGCTATCAAACAGAAAATCAGAACAGTCTTGCCACACCCACCTATCACATCCTCTGTTTCGGGATTTGTTAATAGTTCTCTTTAACATTTAATTTTATAATATCTATAACTATACAAGAAATACAATGTTTTTATCTATCAAATGACATATTGTATTACATTGTTTTCTGAATGAAGAATTGTTAATTTCACTGTTAGTACAAGCTTGGTTCCCACAGGAAAGATAATGACTAGATTGGATGAATTTGTAATGGCTCTTGTTGCACAGTTAGAAAGCCAGAAAAAAAATTGTCACAGTTAGGGGATACTGTCTACTTTTTGCATGTTATTATTCTATGTTCTTTGGTGCATTATCCAATTGAATAAAAATTCCTTAGTGCATTACTAGCATTAGTATAAAAAAAAGTAGGGTTAAGTGTCATTGACAGTTGACAACAGAAAAAATAATACTTGGGTAACTTATTTCTTGTTTATTCTTTAATCATTATTATAAATGTAATTATAATGTAATAATATAGATCTCTTTAGGTTAGATTAGGTAAAATAAATAATAATATAATAAAAATGTTTCATGAGGCACACATGCAAACAGCTCGTGGGTGACATAATTTGATAGCGTAACACAAGTTCCACGTTCTCCAAGTGATTTATGACTTACAATGCCACGAATAGTAGTTAGACACAGTTCAAAGGGCATAAAACAATAAAATTTAATTATACATAGATGTATACTGTTACGAGTTTAAAGCTACTTAGGATAAACGAATGTGGTTT